CTCTGCCCTCCCCCCATATACAGGCCTTATAAGTCCTAGCCTTCCCCCACTTAATCCTATTTCTATAGCACAAAGGGAAACATTACAATTTGGAAATTCAAATTGAAATAAATGGAATAAAATTTATTCCCATATATATTCCCCATTTCATTGTACAGAATTATTTTAAATTATAGTTTTAAATAGAAGCTGAGTATATGCCTTAAAAATGAGCATTAAATCCATCTTAGAGATGGTGCCTGCTTTTTACATGATGGGTGTACACCATCTTTAATTTCATTTACATTTCAATCGAACAATAGATTTGCAAAGAAAATGTCTAATACAGACGTAAAAATATTCACACTAGAGCTTCACAATCGGTTGTACAATTGACAAACAGGCCTCTTTTCCCAAACTTTCCAGCTAAGCAAATTTGTAAAATGTAATCAATGCAACAAGAAAAACATTTCTCTTTCACTTCCAGGGAAAAGAATATGCAATAAACAGTATAAATGCAGACAGCAGTTGCTGTAAGCTAACCACGATACTCCCAAGTGGCTGTACAGTGGGTATGTGCAGTACAAATAAAAGCCACATGTGTTGTATCACAACTACAGTATAATTGTTTGCCCAGCTAAGAGAATGCATGCACTTCCATGCCTTGGGTTATAAAGTGAGGCCTAATTCTTGACAGATCGATGGAATATATGCAAATGACCTTGTCTTTTGGCAGTACTAAGTGCACCCAGTGTCTGTGTTCCACTGGTTTAAAGATATTTTTAAATTTTTATTTTTAAAAAAAACACAGCTACAACTGCCAATTTTGGACTTGGGCGAGTAACTGCTCTTGGAGTAAAAATAAGACTCCACTCAAATGTAGAGTGCTCTGATCAGTGGCCTTAACACCTTGTATTCCCTCGCCAGCAAAGGGATACAAAGAAACTGCTAGTATAAAGGAGTAACTAGCAAATTTATTCAATTTATCCAGAAAACGGGATACTCCTTGAGCATATTCATCTTTGTTCTGCTTGCAGAAGGGGTTCTTATGTAGGAGTTGCAGTAAGTGATCCCATCAACACTCTTCATTCTCTAAAACACAAGACAAATTCTTCCAGTTAACTAATACATAGTTGCAGTGTAACGTGCCCCTGTAATGACTAGTCACCAATACTGGTGACAGTCTGCTCAGAAAATGACTCAAAGAAACTAGGGAAGGAATATTCAGATTCGAAGCTAAAATCACATGCTGAATCTGATCATCACAAATTCCATCCATTAACAAGATAACCATGACTTTAACATCTAAAATGCAAAAAAAACCCACCAAAACCCCCCAAAAAACAAACAAAAAACAAACAAAATACAAGTTAGATGGTTTTTAAAACAATGTTTTCAAATGTTTAAATGATCCCATTTTTAAATTCCTACAAACTGCTGTGCATCCTGTAATTTTTTCAAGGTAGCATATAAAATTGGAATGTGCTTTATGTAACAGGGTGGGGCAAAAGTAAGTTTAGAGTTGTTCACAGATTTCTATGATCAACTGTGAGCTTACTTTTGCCCCCCTACTTAGAACTTAAAATTTGAGTGAAAGTGACTAGATCCACACAAATGGAAATTTTCAGCCCTAGATTAGGAGGTTTCTTTCATTCTCTTGTGAGAATAAATAGCTTCTATGGAAAAAATCAGGGCTGCTGACCCAATGAAGTACCTTCTCTTGAAAATACACAACTTTCATGGATGACATTGCTATATCAGGTGGTATTGAGAGATGAAATCATGGCAGCAAAGACAAGGAAATCTGCTTTGTTCAGAAATATATGTGTAACTTTCTCAGAATTTACCAAATGAAATTAAACAACAAAGGAGAAATACTGATGCTACGTTCACAGTATCTAAATGAGGCACATGGACTTCAGAATGGGATTTAGAAACTGAAAAACATAAACAGTGGAAAAACAAAACCCAACAACAAAAACAAAACACCATTTCCCACTTTCCGGATCTCAGCCTACTGTTTTCTAATTACAGCATAGGTAACACATGCAGGTTAGTTACCAATATTAAAAATTTCTTCTCCAATTGCTATAGCCTTTGATTTCTAACATATATACATCACATGTTGGTAAAAGGGTCAAATGACAGGGATTGCTCCAATTTTAAAAAGTCTCATCTTATGCCTGATTTGTGTTTTTTCTTCTACGACATCAGCAGGCACCATTTGGAAGAAGGATCAGATAAACTGAACTTCCTTCTCAAGCGGCAGAGAACCAATGTCTTCACTTCACGTTACACCCACGAGAAACAAGATGGCTACCACCTAACGAATGCCATACAGAATAATCCCACACAGAAGCAATTCCTATGTTGTTAGCGAGAATGAGAGTGAGTGTTTAAGAACAGGGAGTTATTGTTTTATGGGATCCCCTGCTGCAAGGCAAGCATTAGTTTAATATTAATGTTCTGAGACATATCAATAACGTTGGCAAGTATATAAAATACACTGATGCAAATGTAATTTCACTGGACAAGTAGGCAAACACCTAAGCAGTTTATCCCAACCCCCTCCAGAAGAGCACAACCACGTTTCAAAAATCTTGATTTTAAAATTAAAAAGATATGGTTAAATACACAAGATCAATTTATGTAGTAATATCCACCCTCAGAGCGTGCTGAAGATGTTTTGCGTAGTTCTGTAGCACAGAGGGTTCTTTCCCTGAGGGCACATAAGGAGCTCTCCAACTGTTAATAGGTCTCTATTTTGTAACAAAATAGCAATTTTTAAATCTTAAAAAAAAATACATTACCTTCAACATGGAAGATCTCACTATTTAAATATCCATGAAATAGACATTATGGTTTGCATATCCTTTTTGGAAACACAAACAGCAAATAAAGTACATTGGAAACATTTCAAATGTAATAAGCGCATATTTATAGAAAGGTTCTGATATAAATTATATAACAATCATGTTCCTGTAATATCCTAGGCTAATTTATAATGTCAGAAATAAGTTAATGTAACATGGTTTAAAACTCTTGTTCCTATGCATTTCAGGTTACAGAGTGAAATAAATAAAATGTCTTCGTAGGGAATAGGGAGCACTGGCCATGGCAAAAAAGTACAGTACTAATAACCGAAGGAAACTAAGTCAAGGATACTGTGCTGTTATGTTACAAACATCTTCATACAGTTGAGTATTAAATAAATGTGTAAGATCTTCCATACTGACACCAGAATATCAAAACTACCCCTTTGTTTCTCAGGTATATTTACAACGTTATCAGTCACCTTATGAGCATGTTCATTAAGACAGGTATCAAACACCAGTATTTACTCATTCTGATCAAGAAATTTCAGGGAAATGTGAACCCTCCCGCCCCTGGAAATGCGCACAAAACTTGTTATCAAAATCTTATCTGATACAATGCTGTGGTTTTGTAAAACAACTAAATAGCTCAGACCACCAATAACATGATCCTGTTTAAGCATTTTGCTAGCAGGAAAAGCCCTTACATACAGTACACCTGGTGAAAGATCAGCTTGGCTTAAAATATTCCAGTACAATTTTCAGAGTAAACAACTTCACAGAAGTTAATTAAAAAAAATAGTAATAAAAGTCAAACTAATCTTAAAGAAATGGGGGAAAACAAACCATAGGTAAGATTACCAGGAAGGAATGCCCAACTTTTGCTTTCACATGTTGACTGAAATTTAGGTTTCAATAAAATACCTCCAAAAAATCTGGGGTATGCCTAGTTGAATATACTGCATACATTCAGATGCCAAGTCAAAACACTTTCAGTCACATGTTAGCAGGGCAGAAACTATTCATGTTTTTAAGTATGAATAAAGGTTAGACAATGTTCTATTATTACATGGTTCATAGTCTTATCAACCTAACAGTAAAAAAAAAAAAAAAAAAAAAAAAAAAAAAAAAAGAAAGAAAAAAAAGGGAAAATTAAACCCCAACATCAAGTAACAATAAACAACATTTAACCAAGATAATGCAATGAACATCCAAAATAATTAGTTTAAATTAAAAACCCAGCAATACCATCTTGTTAGTCAGTGCAAACTCTACATACAGGGTTTTCTCAAGGAAGCTGAAAGCACCTGATTCTTTTGCCAAGTCATCAGAATCAATAATGTACAGGCTTAAATCTGCATTTTAAAAAACTGCCATTACATTAGTGCATAATTTATCAAAATTGTAAAAACGATTCTGCATAACTTAGGAGAATTTAATATCTAGTACATCAGCTGAAAGACTTAGGCACTTGGTTATATATTTAATTACTTCAACAAGTAGCCTGTGTATAAATATTAACAAAGCAGAAACTATTATTGAAAAATGGAAAATTAAAAAAAAAATTTTAAATGCTACAGATAAAAGCACTGCACCACAATCCTACATATAATGCAGTAAAGAAAGCTAGTATATAACCCTGCAAAATTCTATGGTAAGAACATCTAACTCCACTCTTTAAAGTAAAAAACAAAAATTAAAAAAATCCATGCAAAGTCCCAAGAAAAAGATAAATAAAGCAGCTGGAATGAGATGGAAATTTCTCTTAGTGAAACATAAAATAGAAATAAATAAGTTAATTAAGTCTACTTTCACTAGATGTATCATTGTAGGATCCTGCTAGTTTAATAACTGAGTTGTTAATTTTCTATAGAAGCCATTTAAAATAGGAAATGGCTCAGTTACTGCACCGGATTGCTACAAACTCATAAAAAGCTGCTTGAAGCTTAAGTTAAATGTCCAAATTCCAATCACTTCTGGAAAGTGAACATGTTACACCCTAGTAAATTTTCTTTTTTTCTTTTTTCATAATGCTAATGCAAGAGGGCTTGAAGTATCAAAGAGTCCACAGGAACTGGATGCCCCCAGTAATATCTTTTTTTTAAAAAAAATATACATTATATAATATATATTATATATATATATATATAAAAAGCTAGTGTAAATGCTTCCATGGTACGGTCACAAATTTGAAAGATGAATCTCCTTTCAGCTGTTAACCATCTTCCCATTTGCAACAACAGGTTTTAAAAAGTCATTTTTATCTTCAGACATAACGTGAGTTTTCAGAATGAGGTTGCCCACGCTGACAGATGTGGTGATGGGGAGGCAACTTGCATTGCTAATGGACACTGGAAGTGGCTGGCTAAAGCAAGTCGTTACTGGCAGAATTGTTTTTTGCTCCTCCCTGAGAAAAAAATAAATGACATTGAAAACAAGTTAGCTTTACTTAATACGTATGTAAAAGGTTATACCAAACTTTAAGAGCTTCTAGCAATGGCATGTCTTTAACACTAAAAAGGATCAGAGATCACTAAAAATGTCCTATTTTTCCAATAATTAAAATACTGGTTAATTTCAGACCAACAAACTATCAAGTTTAAGATTAGCCCGTATTTTTTACAGTAATTACACACAGTGGCGATATTAAAACCAAGTTCTCTAACCAAGATTTTAAAAAAGGGAAACCCTTCAGATAGGTTTTAATTCTCCATTTTGTCGTTTATAAAATTGGCTATCAGACTGCAGAGTATAACCTGATGCTAGAGCACAAAGACTAATTTTTACCCCAAGAAAAAGTAAATTTCAGGCTACTAACATGGACTACTTTGTTAGTTCAAATTTAGTTCTTCTCTCCTAAAAATCTAGACTGACCAAAATCATTGACCATTGCATAAGGTCTTCCTCTCACAGGATAAAAAAGAGTAAAAAAATGAATTAGACACATCTATTTCACTTTAAATATTCATGGTTATGAATTTTCTGTCTAACACTCACAGAATCACATGGTCTTCACCTAAACTCTGTCTCTTCTGCTCCAGTGGCTCCTTTGGGTGCGGTTGGACTGGATGCCCATTTTCCACTGCAGTTCCATTCAGCAACTGATCATTTTGCGAACTGATACCAAGCTGTATATCCAGGATCTCCTAAGAAAATTAAGTGTCAATTCTTCAATATGGAAGTATTTTATTTTAGTTGCCAATGGAATAAAGCCTCCTAAACATCTACCTGTGTTACTTACTTCAATTTGTTCACTCTGTCCATCAGGTTCATCAGTATCAAGTGCCGAAAGCTCTAATTCAATATCCCTGTCAGGCTTAGTATCTGTTGCATCTTCTGTATAATCACTCTGTAATGTAAAAAAAAAAAATAATGATTTTATATCTGTGGAAACTAGAGCTTCCCTTTTAAATTTAAGTGGGAATCCCAATGATTGATCTAAAAAATTACTTAAGGCCGAAACCGGTTTGGCTCAATGGATTGAGTGTCGGCTTGGGGACTGAAGGGTCCCGGGTTTGATTCCGGTCAAGGGCATGTACCTTGGTTGTGGGCACATCCCCAGTGGGGGGTGTGCAAGAGGCAGCTGGTCGATGACTCTCTCTCATCGATGTTTCTAACTCTCTGTCTCTCTCCCTTCCTCTCTGTACAAAAACAATAAAATATATATATATATATATATATATTTAAAAAAAATTACTTAAGAAATCTGGGACCACAATTTTATTGCTACTGTTAAGTTTTAAAAGCAAGCACATAAGAAAAAGGCACACTAAAATGCACTAAGTAAAGACATAAACGTTATGCACAGCAACAGCAAACAACAAATACATTTAAGCATGAAGCTGGTAGATTGTTTCTTTACCTCTCCATTTCTCAACTCAATTTCCTTGCTTAGTAGATTTAAGGTAAGGTGACGGCCTTCATCCAGGGAGTTCCACTTCTGTTGCATGGCCAGAGCATTGGCCTCCCTCTGAAGAAGCAATGAGTTACTCTTGGCCTAGAGGGGGGAGAAAAATAAAGTTAGCTTCCAACCACCATTCTATTTTTCAAAAAGTCAAAGCTGAGTGACACAGAACCTACCTGCTGAAGTTCGATGCTTAAAAGGTCTCCAGTACTGGAATGCTTTCTATGACAAGATAAATCAGTAACAATGAATCTGTCCCTTTAAAGAGAAACATGTTTACTGTAATAAGAATAAAATAAGTGAAGCAGCTAAAGCAGTAATAACTATATTCAACATGTTTTATTTAACAGATTGGTCCTGAAAATCTCAGTCATCATTCCAAATGTAAAAGTAAATATTTTTTCAGAAATTTGTTGCATAGTTAAAACTAGCAAAGCACATTTTATGAATAATTGGGGATAGAATCTGTACTCAGGATATATACAAGTCTGAGAATAGAAAATCCTCAAGAATTAAAAGTAACCTTACCGTTCAATATAGTGTGCTGATGATGTGGACTCACTACCATAAGAATTCCACCTTGAATCAACAGCATTGACATAAGGGACATAATCTACAGAAATGTATAAAGAAACAATGATCAGAGAAGTAAAAAATATGTGAATAAATTTTTTTAAGATTTACTTATTATTATTTAAAAAATTTTTTTTTTAAATTTCAGAGAGGAAGGGAGAGGGAGAAATAGAAATATCAATGATGAGAGAGAATCGTTGATTGACTGCCTTTTGCACGCCTGTGACTGGGGATTGAGCCTGCAACCTAGGCATGTGCCCTTGACTGGAATTGAACCCAGGACCCTTCAGTCAGCAGGCTGACGCTCTGTCCACTGAGCCAAACCAGTTAGGGCATGAATGGGATATTTTTCAAAAAAGATTCATATTTTATCCAACGAGCCATGTTCTCTTGGCTAGATCATTTAATTCTGAGTTTCCTGTGGTTGTTAAACTGAGGATTAAAAAAAAAAATGCTAAAGATAACAACAAAACAAAAAACGCTAAAGAAAACTTTATCCTTTGCAACAGCATGGGTGGACCTGGAGAACATTATGCCAAGTGACATAGGCCATTTAGAGAAAGACAAGTAACATATGTGGAATCTAATGAACAAACTGAGCTACCAAGCAAAATAGAGACAGACTCATAGATAAAGAGCAGGCAGGCAGCCTGGGGGATGGGAGATGGGAGGTGGGAGGAGTTGAGGAGGGAAAAAAGAGAGAGGGACAAAAAAAAAAAAAAGAGATAAAACTCATGGACAACAGTGTGGTAATTGTGGGGTGTGGGTGGGATGGAAGTGGAGGTGAAAGAGGGAATAGAGATGATAAATGGTGATGGGGAAGAATAAATAAATAAAAATTTTAAAAAACAGGGCTGTCCTAGTTGGTTTGGCTCAGTGAATGGAGTGTTGACCTGAAGACTGAAGTTCTGCGGCCTGGGTTCAATTATGATCAAGGGCACATGCCTGGGTTGCCAGCTGGATCCCCAGTGGGGAATGTGCAGTAAACAGCAGATAAATGATTTTCTCTCATTACTGATGTTTCTATCTCTCTCTCCTTTCCTCTCGGAAATCAATAAAAAAAAAAAATCAAAACAAAACAAAAACAACAACAAAAAACACTGTGCTGGAGTATATCAGGTGTGGTATTAGTTAAATGGGTTACCTGATATGCTGATGGGCTTAGTCGCACTTCCTTGGGAAGCAGTGGCCTGAACAGGATCCGTGGTATGGTATCCTGTACGGGAAGATCTGGAAATTGCACCCCATTTTGAGATGATAGGTCCGTCACTAAAAGGAATTATTGGGTCTTCTTCTTTTGTCCTTCTCTGAGTTTCAAATAAATGTACTCTTCTCTTAACATCGCCACTGTCTAGATCCTGCATGAACCAAAGAAAATCAGTAATAGGATTATTGGCAATTACTTCAGCTAGTATTACAGACACACGCTTTCAAAAGACATGTAATTAAGTTTTCTGCTAAATTGAACACTAGCTGTAGATCTCAATGACAATCCAACATCTATCTTAAACCATCAAACGGTGCTCAGATAATTTAATCATTAAATTCAATTTAGTTCAGACTTACAGCAACAATGAAGCTGAAAGTATTCAAATATTCTAAAACCTAAGTCAACATGCATAACAGCCTCCCAGCCCCTGGAATCATACCATTAACACAGCATTTGAATTAGCAATCACATCTCTGGGCTCGGAATCAATGACATTTATACAGGAGCCTATTGTGCCACATGACCAGGGAGAATAATGGGAAAGATGGTCTTCTTCAAATTTTGTCCCACTCACATTGTCAGAAAGCTGGTTAAAAAACAGAAAAAGGCACAGCCAGTTAGTAAAAAACTTAAATTTATACACTTGTAACCAATACTAAACAACTACTATAGAATACAGAAGACTCAGTGACTAAAAAAACTGTCATGAATAAAATAGTATTATTATTACTTGTCTTTATATTATTTAGTAATAGAAAATATTAGGTCTAGTAATACTTAATGTCGTTTTCTAATACTTTTTTAAATCGAATTTATTTAAACAATACAACAAAATTTAATCAACAATATAGTTGCCGTTGTTTTCTACTACTTGTGCCCAATGCTCAGGAAGCATTTTAATCCCTCTGTTGTAAAATTCTTGTGATTTTGATGCAAAAAATTCGGTCAATGCATTTTTGAGGCATTCTTCATTATTAAATTTTTTTCCAAGAAGTAAGTTTTGCAAAGAACGAAACAAATGGTAATCGGAAGGGGCAATATCAGGAGAATATGCAGGTTGAGGGAGAACTTCCCATTCCAACTGGCGCAGTTTTTCAGCAGTGATTCTTGCAGTATGCGGTCATGCGTTATCGTGGTGAAGAATTACGCCCTTCCGATTAATCAGCGCGGGTTCTTTTTCTCTTAAAGCTTGGGCTAACCTTTCCCATTGGGCACTATACACTGCACTTGTAATGGTTTGGTTAGATGGTAAAAGTTCATAATGAAGAATTCCTTTAAAATTCCACCAAACACACAACATCACTTTTTTCGCATGCAAGTCAGGTTTTGGCGTGGGCCGCGGAGCCTCATTTTTGTCCAACCATTGAGGCCGCCTTTTCAAATTAACATATAGCACCCATTTTTCATCTCCGGTAACAATTTGCTCTAAAAACGGCAAACGGTTTTGACGAGAGAGGAGCAAATTGCAAATTTTGACTCTTTGATTACGGTTGTTGTCGGTCAACTCATGAGGAACCCATTTCCAAACTTTTGGACTTTGCCAAGTGCACGCAATTGATTGGAAATTGTTTTTTGTGAACAATTTAAAGTTGTCGCAAGCTCTTGTTGGGTAATTTGAGGATTTGGCACCAAAAGAGCTTGAAGAGCTTCTTGATCAAAATTGGACACACGGCCTCGACCACTCTTGTCATCTAACGAAAAATTTCCCTCGCGAAATTTCTCAAACCAATGCTGGCATTTTCTGGCGCTAACTGCATCTTGACCAAGAGCACTACAGATGTTTTTTGCAGCCTCACTTGCTTTTCTTCCCAATTGGAACTCGTAAAGCATGCAGTGCCGAATATGCTCTTCATCCGCCATCTTCTTAGCCCTAGTTTTCAACAAAAACCAAACCAAACACAAACTTTTTCAAGCAAAACTTGTTAATTGCACTTCACACGTTCTGTAGATACCACGTGTTTGAAGGTTATGTCAATACAAGTCCACGCCAAGCAAGATTTTAAACAAATGTTTTAAAACGACATTAATTATTACTAGACCCGATATAATGTCTTTTTCTTTTCCCTTTTCTTTTCTTTTAAGTGCTCATAAGGAATCCCTGACTGATACTATTAAAACCAATCAACAAATCATTTACAGCAGCTTCAAACACAGGGTGCTCTAGAAAAAAAAAAAAAAGGAAACAAACATACACAGATTACAGTCCATGTCCTAAAGTAGTTTATCATTTTGAGAAAAGAATAAGGAAATAAAGAAACATAATGGATAAACCATACAGTATTAAATAAAGGACAAAAATAATGCAAAGAAGGCTCTGGATCAAGAAGGGGAAGTGGATAAATTTTATAGAGACTATAAGGATAACTGTAGAACAAGAATACTACAGTTGAAAGAATCATTAAATCCAGTTTATTAAATAGATAAGAAAACTCAAGGCCAAAAAGAATAAATTACTTATCCCAAGTCATATTACTAATAGCAGATCTGAGTCTCAGGGAAATACTTTCTAAAGCATAGTATAAGAAAATGTAAATCCAGTTTTCTAATTATTAAGCAAGTGGCAAATCTTTCACTCTGTTGTCAAGATGTTTACCTGTTCTTAAGAAGTCTAAGTTTGATGGGAAAAATTTGGATCTAGTTTAAAAATTCAATAGTTTATTGAAGTATTCACGGATGGGCCCTGGCTGGGTTGCTCAGTGGCTTAGAGCATCATCCTGATGCACCAACATTGCAGGTTTGACCCCTGGATAGGGCACATGCAAGAACCAACCAATTAATGCAGAAGTAGATGGGTCAACTAATCCCTGTTTCTCTCTCTCCTTCCCTCTCTAAAATTAACACATACAAAAAAAAAATTTAAATTAAAAAGAGAAAAAAGAAATGTTCATGGATGAAAATATTTGATGTCTAGGATTACTTCAAAATAATCCAGTAGGAAGAGTGGGTTCAAATAAGGTTCACTGAGTTGATAACTATGGAATCCAGGTGAGGGCACATGGGGTTTATTATACTATTCTCTCTACTTTTGTTTAAAAGTTTTCATAAGGAAGAGTCTCAAAAAACATTTTTATATTAGAAACTCTAGGGGCAGGGAATAAACTAGAGGAGTTTTTTTAAAAATGGTGTGTTTAAATATAAAAGTATTAAAAACACCAGAATGGATTGAAATGATTCTGGTTTAAAAACTTGTTTTGTGATGACAAGAAAAATAATTCATGATGTAAAACACCATGAATAATACAGTAGGCATTTCTGCACCTTTTGTAAAGTAGGGAAGAAATATTTCAGGTAGACCAAGATTCAATTCTCAGCTACTTATAGCCCGAATCTATTAATTGGACAAATTACTTAACTTCTCTGGGTAGGATTCCTAACCTAAAAAATATAGATAAGCACTTACCTCCAAATGTTTTTGTGAGAATTAAATAACATTATGTAAATGCTTAGTACAGTGCCTGGCACAAGTAGGTGCTCAATAAATGGCAGATATAAATGCTGTTATTAACAAAAACCATAAAAAATAATGAGAACTATACTGCTGAAAATATTTTGAATTCTTGGTGAAAAAAGGACTATGTCTTAAAGGGCTTCAGTGTCTCACAAAATCTATCCACAATGCTTACAAATTCAACATGTGTTGAAGTAAATTCAGCTGCGAACCAAACCACTGCAAAATATCCAGCACAGCTAACCCCGGACTGAACGATGCTCTGAAGTCAGTTGTTTGACCTATCCCTGCATCAGGTGATTGAAACGTTGGTTACCTCAGTGCGGAAGTCTACACCTAACAGAGGAGACGGTGGTGTTGGAGACTGCGTTGCCACAGGAAGAGCTGGAGAGACAAGAGGTGCTTTCTGAGTGTGGTACTGTGCCCACTGTTCTGGCTTTCTTCTTATCTGCTCTTCGCAACTGGTCTTCAAATGACCACAAGGATCCTAAGGGGGAATAAAAGAGACAATCTTAACCATGTAGGGAGCAGTAAGTAAATTTAGCTATATTCTGTGGAAATAAAGTATATAATTTATTATATGTTTGGGACAAAAAACAATACAACCGGGAAGTCATCCTAGCCTATTCTCTACACAATTAAACGAAAGGGTCAAGGTATATTAAAATAAATCTGAGCACTCACTTTTGGGATTTTGGAAAGTCATTTGTAAGAGTGTGGGGACACTGAAAGTAAACCCTATTCCTATATTTTGAAGATTTCTTTTTACCTTCCCAGAAGTTTCCTATCCAAACAACATTTACTGAGCATTAATACGTATCAGGTCCAGTTCTAAGAGCTTTATTTTTCCGATTTAATCCTCACAACAGCCTTATGAGGTAAGTACTACTATTATTCCCATCAAACAGATGAAAAAACTAACGTAGAGAAGTCAAGTAACTTCCATAAGTCACAGTGGAGGAGCGAGGATATATACCTGGACGGTCTGACACCAGACATTGGGTTCTTAACCATTAAACAACAGCAGCATTCCTATTTCCATCATCACTTACTCTTGGTAAAGGCACAGTTGTCCTTGGTTCACTTGGTTGCTGACAAGCCACTGAGTAATACCCATCTAAGGAGTTAAATCTTTCTCGCAAAGACGTCTGATAGACAGACGAGTGCATCACATCCATAGGAGGTAAAGAATTGCTTCTAATAATGTCATCTCGTTGGTACATAGGTGGACGCCAGATGCGCCTACTGTCGTACACAGGAGCATACATTCCAGAAGGTACTGTAGGAACTGGTCCATATGGCTGCGGAGGAGGAGGCTGGTAAGGAGAATTCATTCGATCTCGAGGGGAAAATGTACTGTAATGATCGGCATATGGCATAGAAGCAGGTGGGAGGGAGGACTCTGGAACATTATTGGACCTCACAAAGCGAGGAACACAGGGAGCCACACCAGCTGGTACCGTTGGAGGTGGTGGGTAGTATCCTTAAAAATTGGAAAGAGGAATATTTAATGCAATCTTAGTAAAATCCAACATTTTATCATGGTTTAAGTCTAAAGCAATATTTAAATGTGGGAAAATAAAATAAGCTTTGACCTTATTTTAGTTACCCCTGCTTTTGAAAGAAGCTAAACCCTTTCAAGACACCGCTATATGAAAATCAGTAACATTCATTACTTTGTTAAACTGCTCTCTAAAAACACATCATAGAGCTATTAACAGATGGTTGGTAAATTTCCTCCTAGGGCATCTATTGCCACAGGTTTTGAATTAAGTAATTATAATTACATCTTCGATTCTTAACCTTGTTGGGAGCTGAGGTTAAAACCTTTTTCAAAATATCTATAAGTTGTGTGTATCTTTCCAAAATTATACCTAAGTATTTAAACCAAACATGTTGCATATCATTTCAGGGGAAATACAGAACTCCCTGAAGCTCTCCTATGGACCCTATCTTTGATTCATAAGAAAGACAACTCTAAAACTATTTGTATATAGAATTTTATATTCTTAGGGTAAAAAAGAAATTTAGGGGTCAGGAAGTCCAAAGGATTATTTTTTAAGTGCAAATATTCTAGATAGACAGAAATTATTAACTTACTTATCTAAGGGCAGCACATGTTATATTAGTTTCTTTTTTTCTTAGAACTGTCTAAAATTACTTACCTGTCTGTGGGTACTGTGGGACTTCAAAGGGTATCTGAGTTCTTGGATCTTGAAAATACTGAATGCTTTCAGAATGCTGAGGATATACTGGTACTCTAGTTATAAATGGGCTGGATTTTGGAGGCACAGAATTCAGTTCTGTTCCAACATTAGAGGGTCCAGCTGAGGTAGCTGCTACACTGCTTACAGGAGTCTTGGGTGGAGAACCAATTTTACTGGAGAGAAAATTTAACAAAAAGCAAATGTTGAATCACTGTCTATGACTCTTAAGTCTTCATCAGTAGGCATTTTTTTATAATTATATAGCAAAATAACTTTTTATTTATAGAAATTATAGAGAAAGATATTTTATATACTATATACAACAATTATATAGAAAGATACTTTAGGAATTTCCATAATGACACGTAAGGCAATGAATTTCATTGCCACCTAACATTGCTAACTCACAGCAGCATTGTGACAGATCTTTGATAAGAACAAAAAGAAATAACAAACAAATCCCAGGCACTAATGTGACCCATCAGTTTCTTTTCACTTGTTTTTTGAACAGAAGTTTTTCCTATTGAAAAAAATTCCTTTTCAATAAGTCCTCAACAGAAAAAACATAGTCTACCACTAGTATTCTTAGGGACAAAGAAGACAGACATAAAAAGGGTTGTTCTATTAAGAGTTAGCTTAGCTGAAATATAAACACACAGAGGAACAGCCGGACAGCCATTTTGTTAACTGCTGTCTCTCCAGGACTTAGAACAGTTCCTGGCACACAGAAGCACTAAACAAACATTTGTTGGACAAATGAAATAGTTCTTTGCCACGCAGTACATATCTGTTGGATGAACAAAACTCCAATGAAATAGCTACTCATTATATTAATACAACATACTCAAATTTTTTATTTTAAAACACACATACACACACACACACACACACACACACACAGGCACACACGAAGGGAATGGAATGAAGTATACAAAGTGATACAAAGCAAATAAAAACAAACAAACAAACAAACAAAAACACCAAAAACCAAAAACCCACAATGGATTTTCTTTGTTGAGTCACCAAGCAATCAGCTCCACAGGACCTCATTATGGTTTTTAAGAAGTCAAAGTGTTAGCCTTGATCGGGTTGTGGATTTAGCCTCCAAGTCAGGGCACATACAAGAATCAACCAATGGCTGAAATCGGTTTGGCTCAGTGGTAGAGTATCGGTCTGCGGACTGAAGGGTCCCAGGTTCGATTCCGGTCAGAGGCATGTACGTTGGTTGGGGGCACATCCCCAGTAGGGGGTGTGCAAGAGGCAGCTGGTCGATGTTTCTCTCTCATCGACGTTTCTAGCTCTCTATCTCTCTCCCTTCCTCTCTGTAAAAAATCAATAAAATATATTTTTTTTAAAAATCAACCAATGAATACATAAATAAGTGGAACAATAAATTGCTGTCTATCTCTTTTCTTTCCCCACTCTAAATTCAATAAATACAAATTTAAAATTTACAAATTTAAAAAGTCAAACTTTCCCCAGACAAGACAAAGCTAAAAATGAATCACCACCAAAGCAGTATTAGGAGAAATGTTAAAGGGACTTCTTTAATAGAAGAAAAAAAATATATAAAAGATCCAATATAATAAAAGGGTAATATGCAAATAGACCAAACAGTGGAATGACTGGTTGCTATGACATGCACTGATCACCAGGGGGCAGATGCTCAACACAGGAGCTGCCCCCTGGTGGTCAGTGCGCTCCCACAGGGGGAGCGCCGCTCAGCCAGAAGCTGGGCTGACGGTGGACAAGTACAGCAGCAGTGGTGGGAGCCTTTTCTGCCTCCATGGCAGCACTAAGGAGCAGTGAGCCAAGCAGTAAGGAGCAGAGAGGTCCCATACTGCAAGAGGGCGCAAGCCAGGCTGAGGGACCCCCCTGCCCCCCGCAAAAATCTCCCCCCCCCCCCAGTGCACGAATTTCATGCACTGGGCCTCTAGTATGAATAATAAAGTGGCAATAACTACATATCTATCAACAATTACCTTAAGTGTAAATGGATTAAATGCTCCAACTAAAAGACACAGGGGTGGATAAATGAATAAGAAAACAAGACCCTTCATATGTTGTCTATAAGAGACTCACTTCAGTTGGAAAGACACACACAGACCAAAAGTAAAGGATGAAGAAAGATATTTCATGAAAATAAAACAATCAAAAACTAGGGTGGCAATACTTATACTAGACAAAACAATTTAAAACAAAGGCTACAACAAGAGATAAAGGAGGACCCAACAATTCCGCTCTGGGTATTTACCCAAAGAAACCCAAACACTAATTAGAAAAGACATATGCACCCATATGTTCGTTGCAGTATTATTTATAACAGCCAAGATATGGAAGCAACCTAAGTGTCCCTCAATAGATGAATGAATAAAGAAGTGGTACATATATACAATGGAATATTAGTCAGTTAAAAAAAAAAAAAAAAAAAGGGATGAAATCTTGCCATCTGCAGCAACATGGATGTACCCAGAAAGTATTATGTATGCTAAGTAAAATAAGTCAGATAGAGAAAGACAAATACCATATAATTTTACCTATATGTGGAATCTTAAAAAAGCAAAAATAAATGAACAAAATAGAAGCAAACTCATAGATACAGAGAACATTTTGATGCTTGCCAGATGAAAGGGGAATTGGGGTGATGGATGACAAAGGGAAAGGGATTAAGAAGTACAAATTGGTAGTAACAAAATAGCCCCGAGCATGTAAAGTATATCATAGGAAATAAAGTCAATAATATTATAATATTGAATGGTGACAGATGGGGTGATCACTCTGTAAATTATATAAATATCTTAACACTATGTTGTACATCTGAAGCTAATATAATATTGTGTATCAACTGTAATTGAAAAATTATGGGGAAAAAAAGCCAAACTTTAGCAGAGTTTGACATGTGGTGACTCAAAGAAATGATCTTATTAATGATACAGAAATTCAATACGCTGTATCTCAACTAGATTAGAAGGGTTTTCTCAGACCAGAGAAGCCCCTCTAAAGCTGGAGTAAAAGCAACGTGCTGCCTTTAAGTCTAGCAAGTGTTTTCTTCTATGTGTAACTGAATATTAAAGGTAGGAAATAAAGAACAGCGGGGTAATTTTTTTTTAATATACTTTTTTTTTATTTCAGAGAGGAAGGGAGAGGGAAAGAGAGAAACATCAATGAGAGAGAATCATTGATTGGCTGCCTCCTGCACGCCCCACACTGGGGATTGAGCCTGCAGCTCAGGCATGTGTCTTTGGCCAGAATCAAACCCGGGACCCTTCAGTCCACAGGCCAATGCTCTACTCACTGAGCCAAACCGGCGAGGGCAAAGAACAGTGGGGTAATATTTGATAGAAATATACTGACTTAGACTTCAAATACATTTTAGAGCTACATTTAGTCTTTGAAGTAAAATAAAGGCAACAAAGGAAATGATGAGAATTTCCTTATAACAAATAACACTTACTGAGCAATTAGCATTCTAGGCAGTATGCTGTGTTTTTACATAGATTATCTGATCCTTTCATATCAAAATGTTATATACTGTAAATATGGGTCAATACTAAAGATGAAAAATTCTTAGATATATCAAGAAAAAGACATTAAAATCTATGACAAGGTTCATGGTTTCATGAAATCATGCAAGCTACCCCAACAATTCAGACCTAACGGAAAACTAACTTTCAGTCGGACAGCTAGATGACCACAGCTGTGGATGACTTTCAGGATTCTAGGCTCTCCTTTGCTGCAGCCCCTCTTGTACTTACATGCTCTTAGCTGTGCCCCTTCTATTGACGAAGCCCCTCCTTCCCAATTATCCATAATTTTGGAACCAGCTCATTGCCTTAACCTCTGATAATCTTTTCACAGTAACTCCCTACAGCATCAGTTACTTTTTTTTAATGTCCAAAAACACTTGGAACACAACTCCATTACAGTACCTTTCACAATATATTATATATCACATCTGTCTCTTAGACTACACGAGAAGACCTTTAAAGGCAGGAAGTATATCCAATTCATTTTCATTACTACACCAGCTGGCCTGGTGTTTGGCACGCAGAAGACCCATAATTCTTGATTGAATAAATATATGATTTATATTAATGTATTTAAAAGTTTCCTCCTGGTCAATCATATTTAAAATGAGATATAATTTACCTTTTTAAAGTATGCCCTTAAGTGATTTTTGGTATATTCACAAGATTTTGCAACTATTAACATTATCTACTTTTGAAATGTTTCAACTACCCCAAGAGAAACCTGTACTCATTAGTATTCATTCCCCATTCCCTTTTCTCCCAGTCCTAGCCCCTAGGAACTACTAATTTACATTCTGTCTATATAGATTTGCCTATTCTGGACATTCAAATAAATGGAAATATACACTATGTGGCCTTTTGTATGAAGCTCCAATGTTACTTCATTTATGTAAATGCTATCTCCAAAATTATATCATCTTGTTTTTACAAGACAGAGATATCTTATACATCTCATGTATTTTCAAGAGTGCCAAGAACAGAATTCAGAATGTGTGCAAGTAACACTAGCTAACTAGACAATGCTCTCTGATATACAATTTCTAAAATCTCCCCGAGGTAAGAGTATAATGATCATTTAATAAATAAATTCCCTATCACATGCTAACTGCAGAAATAAAAACTATAAAGTGCTTACTCATCCATCATTTATTATATGAAATCACCAGCAGTTTACTGTGTGCCTAGCATAAACCTAGCGTAAAGTTTTTTTCCTGGATGGTATATACTAGATACAGGTGACAAAATGTGAACATACTTTAACTTGATTTTTAAGATAAAAGAATACCAAAGCATGAAATTTTAGAGGTGGGAATTACTTTTCAGATCATCTAAAAGTTTTAAAACTTTTTCTTAAAGCACCAAAACCCCTTTGCCAAATTAAATCTTATGCTGAAATCCAGCAATAATGGGGGTAATAATAACAACAACAGTTATTTTTTAAATGCTATGTGCCAGGTGTTGTTCAAAGCACACTGCAGTATTGTCATTTTATCTTCACAATAGTAGATACTATTATTATACTAACACTATGGATGAGTAAACTGAGGAAAACAGATTAATTGGCTAGGAAACAGCCAGAATTTGAACCCAGAGAGTTTGGCTCCAAAGATTTCCCTCTTAATTTCTACACACCATTACAGAATATAGAGTAGAAGTGTTCTCGTTAAAGCAGGAGATGGAGGCTCAAGCCTCTCACTTGCTTAGGTTTCTACTTAATTCCTTTCTGGCACCTCTATGGACTCAACCCTAAAGTTTAAGGAAAGAAGGTGTGAAAAAACAAATCCCGTCCAACCACTTAGTTTACGATTAAGGGAAACAAAAGCAAGTTAAAGTGACTTCCCAAGGTCACAAAGCTATTCAGTTACAGAGCCAGGTCTAGCACTCCAATTTTTTGGAATTTAGTACGTTTCTACATTAAAATTCTACTAACTGCCAAAACTGGTTTGGCTCAGTGGATAGAACATCGGCTTGCGGACTGAAAAGTTCTGGGTTCGATTCCGGTCAAGGGCATGTACCTTGGTTGCAGGCACATCCCCAGGAGGGGGTGTGCAGGAGGCAGCTAATGGATGTTTCTCTCTCATCAATGTTTCTCTCTCTCTCTCTCTCTCTCTCTCTCTCTCCCTTCCTCTCTGTAAAAAATCAATAAAACATATTTTAAAAAAATTCTACTGCTTTTCCTCGGGAAAAATAAAAATACTCAGGCATTTCTAAAAAGTCTAAGTAACTCATATTAAGCATTTTTACCTACTACTTACTTTTCAGTTACTGACTCTGAAGAAGGCCCAGCAGCATTCTGACCATTAGTGCCAACCTTTCCCACTTTCTTCACAGTCTCCAGAGCTCTTAATGTACTGTCAGCATTACGTGGGATTAGCTGGGAAACACTGTTTTCTGCATTGGAAATTCCATTTGTACTTGGAACAATTTTCCCCGTGGCTTCAGTACTTCCTATGACAGAAATGACATTTCCGGCTGTGGTTGTGACAGTGTTGTTTACACCAACTTTATTTAGAAGAGGAAATGTTCTTACAGTTGCATTGATCTTTTTGTTCCTTAATCGATACCTGTTTTAAAAACAATCAATGTATTGATGAATATTTCACTATATCTTAAAAAAGACAATGGGAAAAGATTTAAAAAGGAGACAGTTCTGAAAAAGTTTCTTCAGTAAATACCCTATATGGTCTATATCAAACTCTACTCTAATAGATGCCACATGAAAATACATATGCTATTCACCTACACACAGACACTTGTATATATAGGCACATATTTAATAGCTAGCAAAATATACATGCATCCAAAGAAGGCTTCTGAGGGAGTGGGAAGAGATCCTTTTAAAAATTTTGTCTAACTGGAATATAAAGTACACTAAATAAAAATGAAAGAAACCATATAAAATTTAGTTGGGAATATAAAGAGAAAGGTTTACAAGAATTGAAAAAATTCTGTTGTTAAAAATTTGTTAATTATATAATTTTAAAGAAATAAAAACAGCCAAAACCAGTTTGGCTCAGTGGTAGAGCATCAGTTTGCGGACTGAAGGGTCCCAGGTTCGATTCCGGTCAGGGGCATGTACGTTGGTTGTGGCACATCCCCAATAGGGGATGTGCAAGAGGCAACTAGTCGATGTTTCTCTCTTATCGACGTTTCTAGCTTTCTATCTCTCTCCCTTCCTCTCTGTAAAAAAATCAATAAAATATATCAAAATAATAATAATAAAAAAAAAGAAATAAAAACACTGCACTATCCGATTTGGCTCAGCAGATAGAATGTCGATTTGCGGACCAAAGGGTATCCGGGTTTGATTCCGGTCAAGGGCACATATCTTGGTTGCAGGCTTCTCCCTGGCCAGACCTTGGTTGGGGCATGTGCAGGAGGCAACCAATCGATATATCTCCATCACATCTATGTTTCTCTCTCTCTCTCCCGCTCTCTTCCATTCTCCTTAAAGATCAATGGAAAAATATCCTCAGGTGAGGATTAATAAGAACAAAAAAGAAATAAAAAAACTAAAACTCATTTTTAAATAAACAGATTAGTTTATGAAATGATTATCAGAAAAGTAGGACAGCCAATACCGGTTTGCTCAGTGGATAGAGCATTGGTCTGCAGACTGAAAGGTCCCAGGTTCTATTCCAGTCAAGGGCACATGCACGGATTGCAGGCTCAATCCCCAGTAGAAAGTGTGCAGGAGGCAGCCGATCAATGATTCTCTCTCATCAACAATGTTTCTCTCTCTCTCTCTCTCTCTCTCTCTCTCTCTCTCTCTCTCTCTCTCTCTCTCTCTCTCTCCTCCCCATCCTCTCTGAAAGCACTAAAAATATATTTTTAAAAAATAATGAAATAAATAGATTTTACCCATTTACTTTTATGTTTGGGGTAAATGGACATAGAAAAAGGAATTACCCATAAGAGAAGAGAAAAAGAAAAGAAGATACATAAAAAAGAATGTTAAAATAAGACCAAAAGTTTTAAAAAGAAAATCTGCATTACCATTTACCTGAGCCTTTGCTGTTATCTTCAAGTGAACCTGAGCAAATAAGATTGCACATAGGGGTATTTTCATTCTACACAGGTGCTTAGCAGAAACATGTATTTCAGCTAGATAACTTAAGTTCATCTTGCTTCCAGAAGCAACAAAGTAGTTAATTGCATCTTGAAAACTCATCACAAACTTTCAGATTGTATATAACATTTTTATAATGGCCCCAAATTAAACCCATATGCAAGAGAATTCTCATAACTTACTTTTCAAGCTCTTCCTGAGAATGGGCAAAAGTACAGTTTGTTCCTCGCGGACACCCTCCTTGCTGTCTTAGATCTCGGCACATGCTAGTCTTATATTTGCTGTTTGGCTGAGGCTACAAAAAGAATCAGTGTGTGGAAAAGTGAAAATTCCAGGTGTTATTCACTCTTGGGACTTCAAAATTTCATGACTACATCTTCAATTCTTTTTCACATTAGCTATAAGTAATTCTTGTGCTGAAACAATTAACACTCCATTGTTTCCTGTTAAGAGTTATGTGGCATAACCCTGAGTTGGCATTTTAGACATTCCCTCCGGAGATTATCTGAAACTGGTTCAAATGTTATGTCTACTTATTTTTCAGTCAACACAAAGCCCATGAAAATACAAGATTTCCTCATCAATTCACTGCTGTGTTAAAATTATGATACCAAAACCAAACAAAAACTTGCAAAAAGCATTTAAAGGCCATAAGCTTGTTCACTTAACCTGTCACAGGTTACATAGAATGATTTTCCCTGAAAGTAAAAATTAAAAAATACCTACTTATTTGTCAAGTTGAGAGTACAACTTTCTTTTAGGCTCAGAGTTAAGTTCACATAATGAGGCAAAATATAAAAACCTCATCATACTTACTATGATTTGCATTAAAATCTAAAATGTGCTTGTTATTTCTATAGCTTAATAAAGATGAAACATTTATCTTTCAATTGGTATTTTAATATATTCCCATCTTCTAACGGAATAAGGATTTAAGATTGGAAAGATCACTTTGGAGTAGATTTGATCCCACCTATGTCACTTACTGTCACCATGACTTTAGATATGCTATTGAACCATTTTAAGCTTCAACTTGGCAATAGCAATTATCTTGCAAGTGACTGTGAGAATCAGAAATAATAAATGTAAAATATTGAACATAGGAACTGGCTCACAGTAACTTAATAAATAAATGTCACCCTGGCTGGTGTTCTTAGTGGTTAGTGCGTCAGCCCATGCACCGAAGGGTAAGGGGCTTGATTCCTGGTTAAGGACATGTACCTGGGTTGCAGGTTAAACCCCCAGCCCTAGTCATGGCGCATGCAGGAGGCAACCAATTGATGTCTCTTTCACATGTTTCCCCTTCTCTTTAACTCCCTCCACTTTTTTCCACCCTCCCATTCTCCCTCAAAAAAATAAAAAAATCAGTGGCAAAAATATCCTCAATTGAGGATTAACAACAAAAGTAAACAAATAATAAATAGATATTATTAGAATAAAGGAGTTATACCTTAAATAACTCCTAAAGTACACTGAAAATGTTTTTAAAAATATTTTTATGTTTTTAGAGAGCGGGAAGGGAGAGGGACAGGGAAAAAAACAACCAACATCCTTATAACCCCAACGGTGGAGAGAGCCTGCAACCTGGGCAGGTGCCCTAACTGGGAATTGAACCAGCAACTTTTTGGTACACTGGATGACTTGCAACCAACTGAGCCACACAGGCCAGGGCTGAAAATATTTTAAAAACTCAGTTTCCAGATATTTACAAATAGAAATTCATTGTCTGACAGCAATGAAGAAAAAGTGACAATTTTTCCACATTAGAAAAGAATCAGATAAAATGTTTAGAAGGAATCAATAATCTATATTTGGTAAAAAGACATCTGCAGTAAATTCATATTCAAGATACTATACAAACTATTGCTGTGCTCTGAATTATTTATGAGGTATACTACAACTTGAGTTTCTCCCAAAAGTATAGATAATAAAAACTTGTAACAGAGAAGAGCCATATAAAGAGTCCATTAGCCAAATAGCTTGTTAAATGTTCAGAATGAACCTCTGTTATAGCTAATGGTACAAGTACAATAAATGTGCTTACCTGAGGTGTCTCATGGCCTTTTCTACTATAATTCTGTATGAAGTCCACAAGGCCATGAACTACTGTTTTAACAGCTACCATTGCATTTTCTAGCTGCTCCCAAGTTGGTGAAACAGCATCTAAAATAAGCCACCAAGGAGATGAGATGGAGGAGAGAATTTGTTAGCAGAAATTATCTTCTATTATTATAAAAAACATAAGCGATTGAATATTTTCCAACATACCTGGATTGGGGTCTATGTTTGCAAGAAGCTCTAAATGAGGCCTCAGTCTATTTAAGTTAGCTGGGTCACCTGTTCGTTGCAAAACAATTGTCAATTCCTGGACACTCTTTGCAAATGATTCTGGAGATTGCAGCTAACAAAACAGAAGACAGAATGGTTTTTAGTCTGGTTCTTTTATCTATTTTCAAATGCTTTCATTAAGTTAATATACTAAATAGGTTTTCAAGTGTCTTCAGACTCCATAGTACATGAATCAATGGTGAATTAGATTTTCACCTCAGAATCTGCCCTATGAAATTCATCATTAGACACTCAGAAAACTCATTATAAGCTGTATTAGCTCTTTGGAGTTGGAATGTAGATGAATGACAAACTTTTTAAGCCAACCTGCTTTTATCCTGTATTTGCTTCCCAATTGCCTCCCATTCATTTATTTTGAAAGTTAAAAAAATAATATTTAAAAGGGAGAAAAAAGATTTTATAAGACTGATTTTTAAAAACATAGAATCTTCAACTGATTGTCTCTTCAGTCTTTGCAGAAGATTCCAGTATTCTCCAATGTAACAACAACATAGATTAGGATCTCTAATTTCACGAACCTTATCAATAATAGACTGCATGTGTGATTTATGCGCTAAGTCACCATATAGAAGTGAGGACCACTGCTCGGGTGAAATACGGAGTCCTGCTTCCATAGCAATATGAACAATTTGGGCATCATGTTCTCTGCGTAATGCCTCATAGCTCCGAAATTCTTCTTTTAATTGCATCAGAGAAGAGTCTTCATCCCTTTTAGTAACCTAAACGATAGAAAGGAGAAATACACTCAACCCGTCAGAACTGTTCTGCTTTCCCTCCTTCCACAAGTAAACCTTCTTTGGGGGGTTGGGGGGATGTAGAATGGGGGAGACCTACTACATATCAGATATCACACAAAAACAGTACAAGAAAGAAAAGTTTGGGACACCCAAAATTCTAATCAGGTATAATTTAAGAAGGAGCAGAGTATAACTTAAAAGTCACAAAAATCTATATGCTGTCATAACTCACTTAAAGAAACACTAAGGAAACAAAAGGAGGAATTATCAATCTGAAAAATAGGAAAAAAGAAACCTAAAAATACCAGAGGATGTTAGCACCTCTCTAACCACCATCTATGCTACAGGGTACCTCCTGGGAAGCATATGCATCTATCTACCAGAGTAGTAAAGATGGACACAGGTGATTAAGAGAACCTGGTCCTACTTAAGTTCTATTTTTAAAAAATACATATTTTAGCTGAAACCGGTTTGGCTCAGTGGACTGAAAGGTCCCAGGTTTGATTCTGCGGACTGAAAGGTCCCAGGTTTGATTCTGGTCAAGGGCATGTACCTTGGTTGCGGGCATATCCCCTGTAGGGGGTGTGTAAGAGGCAGCTGATCCATGATTCTCTCTCACCGATGTTTCTAACTCTCTAACCCTCTCCCAAAAAGTCAATAAAATATATTTTAAAAAATACATATTTTATTGATTTCTTACAGAAAGGAAGAGAGAATTAGAAACATCCATCAGCTGCCTCCTGCATACCCCCTACTAGGGATGTGCCTGCAACCAAGGTACATGTCCTTGACCGGAATCAAACCTGGGACCCTTGAGTCCACAGGCCGACACTCTATCTACTGAGCCAAACCGATTAGGGCTCAAGTTCTATTAATGTGCATCAAAATCACCCATGAAGTGTTGAAAACTATAATTTCAGATCTACTGAATCAGAACCCTTGGCTTAAACATCACATGATTTAAAGTATGTATGAATGTTCAAGTCCTACAAGAGATATAACAAATCAGAAATCTCTGCATTAAACAGAATCATTAACTTCTCTTGTTCTGACTCCATGCTAAAAGCAAGCAAAAGTCTGATACTCTTTTACAGAAAAATATCTACAAGAGGAGAATTTAAGTCAATTAAGAGTGCACTTCTCAAAAAAAAGAAGGAAAAAAAAAGTTTCTTCAACTCTTATTTTTTATTTATTTAAAAAAAAATATATATTTTATTGATTTTTCACAAAGGGGAAGAGAGAGGGATAGAGAGTTAGAAACATCGATGAGAGAGAATCATCGACCAGCTGCCTCTTGCACATCCCTATTGGGGATGTGACCGCAACCAAGGTAATGCCCTTGACAGGAATCAAACCCGGGACCTTTCAGTCCGCAGGCCGACGCTTTATCCTCTGAGCCAAACCGGTGCTGGCAGTTTCTGCAACTCTTATAAGCATTCTGCATTTGTGGGGGCCTCTAACAGGATAATACCCATTATAGGAAGCCTCTGTCCCACATACAGGCATGTAATGTTTAGATGGTTGCTTGTTACTCACCTTAAAACAAGAAGCTCGATACAGTAGTTGCACAACATGACCAATACTTGTTTTTGATGCCTGAGGAAATCTTGGTTCTAATCTTTGCACAACAAAAAGTACCAGAACTTTCCTTGAGAGAGCAGAACCATCTTCTAGTGCCAGCAACACCAGCTTTAAGGCCTCTTCTTGCATAGCTAGAAGAAATATGAGTTCATGATAAATGAGAAACCCTGCAGATCATGTCTGTCACAGATTTCTTTGGTATTAGTTTGCAGTGGTTCATTTTCCAGTCTGTATTTAATTAGCACAAACATAGGATATCAAACATACACAAATATAGCTTGATTTAAAAAAAACAGTAGTCCACCCTAATCCACAGAGGATATGTTCTAAGACACCCAGTGGATGTCTGAAACTGTAGATAGTACCACACTCTATATACAGAGATGGGCAAAAGTAGGCATACATTTGTGAACATGTGAAGCAGATTTTCTTTATTTTATTCCTCACCTGCATGCTTAGAAAGAGGAAGGGAGAGGAAGAGAGGAAAGAGGGAGAGAAGGGGAAGAAAAGAGGGAAGTGGAGAGAGAAAGAGAGAAGCATCGACCCACTGAATTCCAAATCCTATGTGCCCCGACTGAGATCGAACCGGAAACCTTTTGGTGCACAGGACTATACTCAAACAACTGTACCACTCAGCCGGGCAGAGCTTATTTTTGTATTATTATTTACTTATTAATTACTGTATTATTAATACAACTGTAAACCTACTTTGCCAACCCTGTATAATATGTTTTTTCCTAAACAGTAAAGTCCTCACTTAACATTGTCAATAGGTTTTGCAACTTTAAGCAAAACAACCTATGATACAACCAATTTTACCATAGGCTGATTTATACAAATAAGAGCTAAATTCCTAAAGCATCTCATCAATGTTATAATAAAACGATGTTGAATAAAATGTTATTCGAGAACTTGGTATACATACGTACATACCTATGTAAAGTTTAATTTACAAATTACACACAGTAAGAGATTAACAATAACTAAAAATAGAACAATTATAATATATTGTAATGCTTTGTGAATATTGTCTCTTTCTCAAAATATCTTACTGGACTCAAGATTCTTATGACGATATGAGATGATACAATGACTACACAATGAGATGAAATCACTTAATGTCAGTCTACTATAAGTGTTAACTGAACACGAGCAGTGAGATACCTCAACAAACTAATTACCAAGATGGCTACTAAGTGACTAATAGGTGGACAGTATATACTGTGTGGACGTGCTGGACAAAGGAATGATTCACAGTGGCCTGAGATTTCTTCACCCTACTCAGAGCAACGTGCAATTTAAAACTTATGAATTGTTTATTTATGGAATTTCCCATCTAATATTTTTAGACCTTAGGTAAGTAAAACGACAGAAAAAGAAACCACAGATAAGGGGTCTGTAATCAAACAAAAGAAAACATCCTTCCTATTAAACAACCAATCAGAACAACAGTCAAGAGAACTTAACATATAAATTCTGTAGATATTTAACAATCAACTAGATGATAATGTTAAAGTGAAAAAAAAATCCTCATTTGTAAAACACACACAGCTTACTCTGACAAATAACATGTGAAAGACACACAGTAGTCTTATGATAAATGGTAATTTTTTAATCATGAAATTGTTACTCTGCCTGTCAGAACTAGCCTATCTAATAAAAGGGTAATATGCAAATTAACCGTCATCTGTCACAAGATAGCGATGTCCAGTCCTCTTAGCCCTGCCAGAGTCCCCCAGTCCCAGGGGAAAATCACTGAGAGTGGGCCGTGTGAGTGTTCTGGGCCCGGCCATGCATGGGGTTTGGGCCCGGCTAGGGCGATAATGGGCTTCTGGGCCACGGAGAGTCTCTGGGCAGTGGGTGCAGAGTAGCCAGGCCCCACAGAGAGTTACTGGCACGTGGATTCGTGGGCAGGGCTACTAGTTTTGTATATAATTTTAAAGTGATATTAGCCTCTAGGTGTAATACCTAAAGGTATTAATTTATGTTGTTTTCCAGCAGGGAAATAGTTATAAAATAAATGCCATAAAAAACATTTTTGAAATAACTGATAAAATTGGAATATAAACTATAGAACCTATAGAACGTCATATTGTATCAAGAGTATCCTTGTTTTTAGGAAACACACTTAAGTGTTAATGGGTATTCAACCTACTTTCAAATGGTTCATAAGAGAAAGAGCGAATAATAAAACAAACGCAGCAAATTAAAAAACTAATCAATGTGGAATTCTCTGCATTACTCTGTATTTTATTTATGGATTATTAACAAAGAAAAGAGAAAGAGAGAGAGAGAGAGAGAGAAACACCCATCTGTTGTTCCACTTATTTATGCACTCACTGGTTGATTCTTATTTGTGCACTGACCAGGAATTGGACCTGCAACCTTGGCATATCGGGAGAAGGCTCTAATTAACTGAGCTACCTGGCCAGGGCCTTTGCATTATTCTTGCAACTTTTCGTTAAATTTGAAATTATTTCTAAATTAAAAGTTTAAAAAAATTTACTTTTCCTTTACTTACCACCTGTGTAATCTTAACTCAGTTTTCTAATTGTAAAATTGGATCTGTGTCACCTCTTTTGAAGGACATTGAAGATTAAATGAGAAATTTGTTCTAAAACATTATAGCACTTATCATATAGATTATGATCAACAAAAACTGGCTTGCTTATCTGCAATTGTATCAAGCTTTGTATGAATAAAGATGGGTTGAGTCTGGGTATTCTCACCTACCTTTAGAAATTGGCATCCTCTAGTCCTGATAACCAGTAAGAAAGGCAAGATAGTGATCTATCTTACCTGGCCCTAGGAACTGGCATCCTCGAGCCCTGACAGCAGCCCATAAGTTGGCAGACAACTGCTGAGGGTTCTGGTGCTGTAATATTAGTTCCGTTACAGTTCGTTCTCCGAGTGAACGGGCTGCTCGCATGGCTCTTACACGACCTTCTTCCTCTACCAGTTGACAATTTACAAGTGTCACCAGTTTCCTTTGCATTGGACGGCTCAGTGCACTCTGGTTCAAACTAGCTACACCTTTAGGAAAAAGGAAACAAAGAAAACTAACGTGTGTTTTTTTTTTCTATTAAAAAAGACAAGCCAATTTTTATTATCTGTATTTAACTGTTAAGCCACAATTCCTAATGAGACTCCTATAAACAAATTTTCTTTTCTTTCCTCAATCTACTTCAGTTTATTGCCAGTCACTGGTAATAAGAGCCTAATTTTTAGTTACTTCAGATTTTATTTAAGTATCCTCTTCTCTGGGTTATATGAGTCCCTCAAAAGAGAGTACATTTGGTTTGTTTATTTAGTCTATTTACTAAAATTATTGAAGGTAAATATAAAGTTAAATGAATAAAGTTTAAAAGTAATAATTAACAGCATTATTTTTTTCATTATATAAAAGATATTAAGAACATGGCTTAGTGATAAGATCTTAGATCCTAATTCCTTTTCCTGACTCAAGGACATTGCTCCAACAATCCTTGTCTTTCTTCCATATTATCATTTTCCTTTCCCACTTAATCATTTCCATCAGCATTAATAAGAACAAGGAAGCTGTATTTCATACATTTTAAAATTGCAATCTGCCTTTCTGTAATCACTCTGACATTTCTTATCCCTCTAAATGTGTTTTCTTTCCACAGCAATTATTTATAACATGCTACATAATTTTTAAAATTATATTTATTGTTTATTATACTTTCTCCCTTTTCTAAACGTGAGTGGTATAAGGGCACGCATATTTACTCAAGTTTCCCTAAGTGCCAAAATAGTGTCTGGTGCTTACTAGATGGTCTTTAGATATTTGTTCAATGAATGAATGAGGTGTACAGGGTAAGTCTCTCTCAAAAAAAAAAAAAAAAACTCACTATACCAAAATACCAAACAGTGAAAAGCTCAGAGCAGGTACAAAATAAATACCTGATTTATTCATTCAACAACATTTTAGAACATATATGATGTGCTAAACACGGGGTATGCAGTGTTAAACAAAACAAAATTTCACTTCTGTCACAGCACTTAAAATAATTTATTATGTTTACATGGCTATCACCCCCAATAGACTGCGGGCTCTGTGAAGATAGGGAATGTACCCTCTATAAGTGCTCAATAAAATTTAATGAATGATTCAATGAATAAATGAACACATAAAACTTGTCTTAATATGGCTTATCAAAATTAATATCCTGCTATAGCACTACTAGTTTAATCAATGAATACAATTATTGTTTAAAGCTCAATGTTGTATGACTCATGAATAATTAAATAACAATATTGGTTGTTTTCAGAAAATAGTATAATAAATGTTTTCAATCAAAAAGTTTTCTAAGATCTCTCCAAGCAAATTTCATTTTCCACAACTCAAAATGTTTTAAGAAGGCATCAGCAACAAATTTGTCTAACTAAATGTATTACCAAGTCCTCCTCAGCAGAAAAAAAAAAACTGGAGGGGAACTTACCTTTACCTCCACTTAGTGGTTTTAAGTAGAGTGCCAAATCTTCAACACATTTCTTTGCAACTTCATAATGTTTGTTCTCACCTAGATTACTTAACTTTATTGACTGATGGTCTGGTACCTAAAAACAAAACAAACAAAAATTCAAGAAATACATCCACCCAGCTAACAAGCTGTTATTTATATATTTGATGATAATCTTGGTGAGTATAAATTATAACACAGAGACATACATCGAGATAGTGTAAATAAAATTAAAGGCAAACACCTAATCTGCTTTCCAAGAATCAAGAATATCATACTTAATAGCAGGGGTTGGGTGGGTTAATGGATGAAGAAAAGAAGCAGGCAATTAATAGTACTCTATCAATGCTAATTTCTTGGGATTGATAACTATGCTGTAATTTTAAGATATTAATATTAGGGGAAGCTACAGAAAGTTATACAGGTTCTCTGTATAACTTTTGCAACTTTTTCTAAAAGTATTTCAAAACAAAAAGTAGGTAAAAAGGATAAGAATTTTTTCCCCTTTAGTATTAAGTGCCTTCTTACTATATAATGTACTTACTATATTTACTGTACCCCCTTGCTAGAATATAAACACCACAAGACACAGTGTTCTCAATGAAAGGTCAAAACTGCAGTTCTGCCATTTCTACGAGTGATCTTGAGAAAATTATTTAACTGCTCTAAGTCATGGTTTCCCTATCTGCAAAATGAAGATGAAAATCCCTATTTCATCGTGCCATTATAAAAATTCAATTTAGCTTGTTGGGGGTGCAGAGTGAGGGGGGCCAATGGGGGAAAAGGAGACATCAGTAATACTTTAAACAATAAAGATAAATTTTAAAAATGTTTAAATTCAATTTAATTTAACAAATATTTATATTTGTGGAGTTATTACCATGTACTAAGCATAGTTTTAGGCATTAGGCCCCTATCAGTGAGTTAAACAGACAACATTTTTTGCCCTTGTGGAGCTTACATTCTAGTGGAGAAGAGAGAAAGCAACCAATAAATTTAAAAGAACCTTAAATGAAAAACATAGTATGATGAAAGGTGATCAATACAAATTATCCAACAAGAATAAGGAAAATTAGGAGTACTGGAGAGAGGTTGCAATTTTTAAGGGGGATGTTCTAGATAGGCTTCCTTGGAAATCATGACATTAGAAAGACTTAAAAGAGGAGAAGAATGAACATTCTAGGCAAAGAGTCACTACACAAAAGCCCTCAGGTGGAAATACTTCTGGAATATTTAACAATTGACTGGAAGGCAGTGTGGCTTAAGCAGAAAGTGTGAAGACAGTTGTAGATGAGCCTGAAAAGATAAAAGAAATCATACTGCATAAGCCTGCAGGCTATTTTTAAGGATCAACTGAGAGGACATGTATTTAAAAGACAAACACAACACTTGACATATAGCAAATAATAAATGGTAGCTAGCTTTACTACAAAAAGTTTAAAGTATTTTGTCGGACCTAAGATGCCATTATTTGCAAGAGCCACCATTATTTTCTGCATTGTTAAGAAAAAAAACACTGCCAATTAAATTACGATGCACTAATAATTCAACTGCATCTTGATTTCAGAGTGTCTGAATTATGAACATTGAGAAGAAATGCTGTGTTTTAATAGGAAAACCTTAAATATGAAGATACTATGGAACAGGGTATTTTAATTCATTGAGTTTTCTAAGATGTGACTGATTAGAAAAATCCTTACTTTCTTACTTTATGTAATACATGATGTACAGAATCTTCTTCCTCACTTGTAAAATGGGGATATTACATACCTGAAAAGCTATAGCAAGAATCTATATATATAAAAGCCTAAGTGACAGGCCAACCGTCCAACAGCTATGATGCACACTGACCACCAGGGGGCAGATGCTCAATGCAGGAGCAGAAACCACAGGTATGGAAACGTGGGACTGGTGAATCTCAGAGGGAAAGGGGGAGTGGGGTTGGGAAGAGATTAACCAAAGATCTCGTATGCATATTGAGGCCTGGTGCACTGATTTGTGCATCAATGGGGTCCCTCAGCATGGCCTTCGGAAATTTGAGCCAAAACCAGCTCTCCAACATCCCCTGAGGGGTCCTGGATTACAAAAGGGTACAGGCCAGGCCAAGGGACTCCATAGGTACATGAATCTGTGCACTGGGCCTCTAGTTAATATTAATAGATACTCAATGTTTACCATCATACCTACACAAAGTAGAACCTTATTAAATGAAAATTACTGTAAATCTAGGGTCTTGCTCTGATTCAATGATTATCAATAAGAAATAGTTATTTTATAGCATGGTTTTCGATATATTCATCCCCAAATAGGACTTATTTGATCACTAGAGGCCCAAAGCATAAAATTCATGCAAGAGGCTCGCTCAACCCTCACAGCCACGGCAGCTATCTCAGCCCTCATAGCCCCAGCTTCGTCCATAAGGTCATTTGGCTATTTGGTTTAATTAGCATATTACACTTTTATTATTATAGATGTCAAGTGAAATTAAAAAGAAAACAAAAAACCTCCATTTGAGGTTTCTAGTTGGTTGCTCTCTGGCCAAAACTTCGATTACATTTCTTTTCATACCACCTAATGAATAAATAATAATGTACGAGGGGCCCGGTGCTTGAAATTTGTGCACTGGGTGAGGGGTATGTGTCTCTCAGCCCAGCCTGTCCCCTCTCACAGTCTGGGAGCCCTCAGAGGATGTCCTACTGGGGAGCGGGCCTAAGCCACAGTCTGTCCTCCCTCTGTGGGAGGTGATCAGGCTGATCAGGGGAAGGCCCCATCTCCATCACCCCATTGCTGCTGATACTGGCAGCCACTGCAGTTGCCAAGGTCTTTTCATGAACACAGACATCAGTCCCTTCATCATGAAAAAATGTCTATGTCCAGCTCCAGGCCTACTCAAGTGGCTCGGACAGACCTCCCTGTCTATGTCCCCACCCACCAGCTCCTGTTGTGCATGCCTCCATCGCGAGCAGCCTCCGCCTCCAAGGCAGTGTGATGCTAGCACTGGGCAGACCTGTGTGCGCCTCTGCTGGGAACAGAAGTCCCCGTCCCCGCCCACCAGCTCCTGTGCACGCACAGCCTGTTGACGGGTCATGACTGGCACACCGTTAGGCCCAATTAGCATGTTACCTTTTTCTATATATAGATAGATGCTTATATCAAAATTTTTCTTATCCATCAAAATGACTTATAAAATAAATTTTGACCACAGCATTGAACACAAAGAAACATATAGCCATAATAAAAATGATGATTTTGCATAAGGATTTATGACATTAAAGAAAGACTTTTGCATAATATAATCATGAAAATCAGGTACGCTGAATATTTGGAAGTTTACCTGGGCTCCAACTAACTGGAGAAGTGCAAAGTTGACAGGAAGCACATCAATGTCGGTGTTGATGGCAGTCTGGTCAAAGGGGCAAGCTTTTCGGTGAAGTTTGTTCAAGCAGGTCTTGCAAACAGTGTGTGAACAACCTAAACTGATGGGTTTGTGCACATTCTCATCAAATTCATTATAGCAGATTGGACAGGACAGAAATTCTGTCCATTGAGCTGCCTGCACAGGCATTGTGGAAGCTGGATGCTCGGCTTAGCAGTCTAGCAGATCATTATTTTGCTGTGTAGTGTTTTGTAAGCTGGAAATAGACAAAAGTAAGAATTAAACATATATTCATCATTCCCTTTCAAGAGCTAATTGTAAAGTCAACCATCACAGCCTCAAGATTTAAAACACTTCTGAGCAACTTTGTATATTTTGGATATCTTTTTCTTTAAGTCTATTTGCTGAATTGAATTTCTGAAATTTTGTCCAGAAGCATTATTCTAACAGTGTTCCTTTCAACTAAAAATATTTATATTGGTTGCTAATAAAACAATCATCAGAGCTATCATTTGTTTTTCTTAACTACTATGAGCATAATATTCCACATTTCATTTTTAGGAACACACATTAATTTGGATCGCTGATTTAAAAAAAAAAAAAAGTGTTTCCCATGGGTATCTACTACCCCAAAACATATTAAGATATGGCCTAGAGTTAGTGAACTTTGGAATCCCTTGATCCAAACAATATCGGAGTGAGTCAAGTGTGAAGAAACAGCTTTGCCACCTGAGTGACCACATCAGTCCAGGGATAAATATTCAACTTGGCAGTTTCACAAAAGAGGGAATCTCTGGTCAGGATTTGATTAGGAGGCTAATTGAGGTTCTGAAAATCCTATTATAATAAAAGTGTAATATGCAAATCGACCGGAGGTGGAACATCCAGTCACTATGACTCACACTGACAACCAGGGGGCAGACGCTCAATGCAGAAGCTGCCCCCTGGTGGTCAGTGCGCTCCCACAGGGGAGCGCACTCAGCCAGAAGTGCGCTCAGCAGCTGTGTCAGGAGTCTCTCCTGTCTCCACTGCAGGTGGGCAGAAAGTATCCAGGAGTCTCAGACTGCAGACTGCGAGAGAAATATCTCATTGCTGGCAGGCGGACATCCCCCAAGGAGTCTTGAACTGAGAGAGGGCGCAGGCCAGGCTGACAGACCTCCTATCTTCTCCTTCCCTGCAGTGCACGAGTCTTGAATGTGGTTCTCTACAATACTTTTGACAAAACATAATTTGTGAATTATAAGTATATATATATTACCAAAAACTGTCAGGTCCAATGAGCAAGATATAGAATAGCCCTGGCTGGTGTGGCTCAGTTAGTAGGAGTGCCATCCTATACCAAAGGATGGTGAGTTTGATTCCCTGTCAGGGCACATACACAGGTTATCGGAGGGATCCCCTATCAGGGCATGTGCAGGAGGCAACCAATCTATCTTTCTCTCTCTCTCATTAATGTTTCTCTCCTCTCTCTCCCTCTCCCTTCTTTTCTCTCTAGAATCAATGAAAACCATGTCCTAAGGTGAGGATTAAAAATAAAATAAAAACATCTTTTAGAAGACTAAAAGAATATTAGCATCTAATAATTCTAAATTGAAAAACTGCAAATTATAAATTTTTATTTTTGATATTATAGTGAGAAAAATTATATTTGTACATGATTAAAAGGCACATGGGTAAAATAACAGTTAAGCTTTCTTTTCTTATTCCTAAGATCCAAATGTTTGTTCCATAATTTTTAGTAAAATAAAATATTTAGCCCTAACCAGTTTGGCTCAAGGGTCCTGGGCTCGATTCCGGTCGAGGGCATGTACCTTAGTTGCGGGCACATATCCAGTAGGGAGTCTGCAGGAGGCAGCTGATCAATGTTTCTCTCTCATCGATGTTTCTAACTCTCAATCCCTCTCCCTTCCTCTCTGAAAAAAAAAAAAAAAAATCAATAAAAAATACATTAAAAAATAATAAAATATTTAGTATCAAAACTATGCTGTCCTCTAATTAAAATCTTTAGAACTTGAACATTCTACAGTTCACAAGTTTTCTGTATCTTCTAATACTAAACTTATATAAGTCTGACAAAGGCTCTTTGGTGAACAAGAAATCTAGGTATTTAGGGCAATTAAACAGACAATGGTTTATTTCATAAAATGTTTATCAACCAAAATATATTAGTTCCACAGAAATTAGATGTTTAAAAATGAAGTCAGATTTAGGACAGAAAGGTCTATAAACTCATTCTCCAATATCCTCACATCCAAATGAATTTTATTAGCCTTTATTGTGCTTTTATGTTCACAATAACCTAAGGTTTTAAAAATATCTTGTAAAAATAAATGATAGGGTTTGCTATGTAAAAAGCTCCCTATACAAACTTTTCCTCAAATAGCTCTAATGAAATGTATCTAATATACACTGCCACACCTATTAATGCCATCAATCTTATAACCAGTCAGTTGGCTTTCAATTTTAGGAATGAGCACTAAGTAGGTTAATACATTACTCCTTGAGTCTATATAACATTTTCAATGTTCAGCTTACCAGGCTGCAGAATTATAAAAGAAAAAGGTCTCTGAGGAAGAATAAATTGTATCTTAGATCTACGATTGAGAGCCTTAATTTAGTTAATAACTTGAACTGATAAAGTATTTATCAAAACAAGACACTGCATCTATTTTTTTTTTCATAATTTCAACCTATTTGGAAATGCTAATTTAGGAGGTCAGGGTATCAAAGGCCAGTGAGTAATATAAAACTACTAGCAAAACACTCATTCCTTATAGTTTTCCAGGATTATCCCCAAATGTTTTAAAGTTAGTGCGTGCGTGTGTCTGTGTGTGGGGTGGGGTGGGGTCCGGGAGCATTGTTTGAACATAAAAATTGTATCTTTCATATTTTTACCTATTAGCTTTAAAGTGTTTCAAACTATTCCAAGTATATAAAAAATATACTTGATAGTATGTTTATATTATCCCTTATATATTTCTAGGTCTACAAACACCAGATGCTTTAATATTAATCAAGTTTAATTTCTAGTAGAAATTTAATCTATACCTTTAAAAGACAGATTGTATCAAAATTTTGACAGTAACTCTGCAAATTTTCCTTCTCCTGTGTGTCCCATTCTAACTTTCTAACAGGAAAATTATGAACTAAATTTTCCTTATTTAATATTATTAGGAATGGTTTGATTTTTAAAAAATGTTTTTCTTCAGTATCATTATCAATTTATTCTAGATTCCTCAATAAAGAAAAATACAAAATAAAAATTTAACTAAAACAGAGTTCATGTTGTTCACCAAAACATTTAATTAATGACAAAACAGGCCTTTCATTTATTTTAAAAAGGCACTTTGTAAACATTTACCTAGAATATATTTTTATAATTACAAAAAGTAAGTCTATTGTCTTTATAATTTAACAATGGCAAGCTAAGAAAATATATTAATGTGTATAATTTCTAGATTTATATTAATACATTCCATAGTAACTTATTTGAATCTATGGAAACCTAAATTACTAATAACATTTATAGTTAATATTGATGTATTCATTCTAAAAATGCTACCAAAATATCTCAAATTGAGGTAAAATGGATGAAAAAGCTCTAGATATGCAAAGGGACTACTTAAGAAAAACATTCTAATTAATTTTTTGTATTTAACTAACTTTAGTTATTAGTTACTAAAATTGAAGATGAGTAAAACGATAAAGCATAGGAGAAACATTACAGGTGGAACCTTAAACACAATTTTACTCAAGTCATTTTTAAGACTGTAAGTCTCATATGATACAAATTATAAACTGCTCTAAAAGGAAACTGCATACCAGCTAAGTACTTTCATTTTCTCATAACAGACTGCCATGATATTGTGCAGCTAGTTTATGATTAACTGATTTTAAAATGCCAGAATAAAGTTTATGTCTCTTTCACTATTGTGTGTGTGTGTGTGTGTGTGTGTGTATATTATTTTACAAAGATGTAAAATTAGGGCTCAAGTCTGTTAATTAAAACACTCTTTGTTTTCATTCTAGTTTACACATGTGAAGAACTTAAGCTACTGAAATGAATTTTAACAGTATTTAAAACCTTTAAAATAATTACTTTTGGACTTAAAAATAGTATTTAAAGCATCTTAAGTACAATTTAGACCTTAACCTACCATACAAACAAAACCAACTAAAACTAAGCATTCAAACATATAAAAAGAATTGGAGCAAAAGAAACAGAATTGCCATTTTAAAGACTGCTATGTATCTTTAGTGTAAGTAGGAAAGATTTTTGACTCAAGTTTTACTTCAGCCCACTATCGGGTTTAACTAGATTTTTAAAAAATTAAGTATGAGGTTTTTAACTTTCAGTGTCTTCCAAAAGAACAGTAATGAAATTGATTTAATTAATATAATCAATAAAGTTTTGCTTCTATCGTGATGACCAAACTTGAAATTTTTCATTTTCATGTCTTTTAATTCAGATAATTTATTTATTGGAAGAGATTCTCTAGAACAGCACTGTGCAATAGAAATAATGCAAGCCACAAGTACTTTAAAATTTTCTAGCAGTCATATTTAAAAAGGACAAAACAGGTATAATTAATTTTAATACCTTTTCTTTAACCTAATTTATACAAGGTATCATTTTAACATGTAATCAATTAAAAATTAGTGAGATATTTTGAATTCTTTTTTGTTGTTGTACTTAATTTTCAAAACCTGGTGTGCATTTTACACTTTCAGCTCATCTCAATTCACACCTGCCATATTTCAAGTGCTCAACTGCTGCTACATGTGACTACTATGGTAGCTAGTACTGGACAATGAAATTCTCCTTAAAATTAAAAATACTCAAAAGTAAATTTTACTCAGAATTTGAAGTGAAAGTCACACCTACACTTAAGAAGGTTTTCATAAAATTAGAAAACCCTGAGGATTATTAAAGATATAACTTACAATAAAGACTGAGTGCAAAAATTATTTTTAATTTTCAGCTACCTTTATTTGACCACATGCTTCCTTTTTCCATCAGTAGAAAGTGAAACTTCAACTCAGTCCAAAACAATATGCAAGTACTTATCATGATAAAACCTTGCTGTAAGTTTACTTAGCATTCTTAGATATTACATACAATATAGAAGTTTTATTTTTTGAATATGAAATAGAACTTCTTTCAAACTAAAAGACAGCAGGAAGTGAAT